GAACAAAAGTTGCTATTTACAACGAAAAGTTTCTACATATTCTACCCAACACTTCGGTATGCTCGACTTTCCCTCGATCGTCGGGCAAGCACTGTGCTGTCTTTTGAGTGAACTATCCGGGTGTATATGAAATGGCGGAAAACTGAATTTGGCTATCTTTTCGACTCATTACCTCTCCGAACTCATCACAAACAACACGAATCGATCACGGATTCCGTTATTCTATTCTTCATTTGCACCTAAAATTTAATTTAGTTAAAATGGCGATGAAACATTTTAGCATAGGGACATTTGCGTTTACAGAAGCGTTGAATTTAAGCGAGATAATTTGTGTTTTGAAATAAATTTTCGTCAAGCTAACACTCACCTTTTTTGTGTATTCCAGCTGTGTCGTCTGCCTTGAAAAGAATTTTCCCACTATGGAAAACAACACCGGAAAGCTACGATACAGAAAGTCGATAACGTTGAAACAGAGGCCGACTTGGTAATGAAATGAGCACTTCTTCCGATATTTACAGGAACCTTCGGGATTTTGCCGATGACATCCACGAGCTTTTGCCCTAAAATTTCATTCTTAACTACTTGATTCTGTCAAAGTATTCTATTGATTGTCATATCACGAAGAAGTCACAAAGTTTTTCCCAAAATGAGTGGCTCAAAGCTCCCGGCTCTGTTTGTTTTGATGCGGTATCACGTAAGACATCTGAACGCGAGGAAACTGGAGACTAGTAAGATATCTCCCATAGTCCGTGATCTTGTGTTTTCTTTCGTTTCCTCCAAGAAGATTCCCTTAGATATTCTTACCTCCAGCAATGTTCAGTTATAACTTTCACCTAAATATATAGAGAAGTAGCTTAATGGTGCGATTGAAAGAAAGTATTTTCCTAAAGTATTTCACAAGCCCTAGCCACATTGAATAAATTTACAACTGACGCAAGATTTGATTGGTCAAACCAATCAATTCCGCGGATCCTATTTCTCAACGGCCAATCATAAACTAGATTATATTTTTCCCATGGTTCATAGGAGAGGAACGAAGCACACGAGACTTCGCTGTCTACAGAAAGATATTTCGTTGTAGTTGCAGTTATTCTACCTTTTTTTCGACTGAAGCTGAATTTGATTTCGCTTGAGAACAGAGGACATTGGTCGGAAGGAAAATGACGGCCTTTCTTCCGCCGAATCTTCTAGCCTTATTCGCTCCACGCGATCCAATCCCATATTTAACGCCTTTGGATAAACCTGCTTGGTTGAAACGACCATGGCCGTACTCAGGCATTGCTAAGTTCGTCAGAGAATTCGAGGTGAGAAAATTGTGGCAAACTTTCTGTTTTGTACATTATTGAGATATCGGAAATGATTTATATTATCTGAATGTTTCTATAACGTAATTTTTTAAAGCCAAAACAAAGTAAAGCTTCTGAGTTGATGTTGATCGATGAAATGTGAGTTGGGAAACTTCAAAGTTTTGCTGAAGTTGATTATTCCATAGCATCTACCGCAGTTGTTTACTCATTCCAATCATAGCTAAATCTTTGGCTATATTTGCTTTTAAAATCGCTGTGTTAAGTACTGCAGTTCTTGTGAAAGAAACCCCGTCACGAAGATCAGGATTTATTTGTTTGGCGTCATTTTTGCCAGCTCAAACAATGCTCAAAGGAACTTGAGATATCTTAAAGAAATGCTAAGGTTTATTAAGGGGAAGTTATGATTACCAGTAGCAGCTTTAAATGTTCTTTCAATTCCCAACTGAATCACAACTTTTGGACTTGTTATTACATGCAAAAGTGAGAAGCAATATTTAAAGAAAGTAGGAAATGAATGGAACAACAATAATTATAGTTTCATAAAACTAGGATTAGATTTGTTATGAGCAAATTTCCAGGTCTACCTTAACCCTTTGTCCCCTTAGAGTGATTGGCATCTAATTTCTCCTAACAACATCACCCCTGAATCACACATTAAGGTCATGAGAATAAAGGAAATGATCTCTAACTTAAGAGGCTCTTGATCGTCAAACAAATTCTCCTTGTCAGCACCTTAGGGATGTATAAAAAACAGTATAGAGAACATTTACATATATCATCTTGCAACATCTCTAGCAGACATATTTGCAAGCTCTGAGTATATGCATACTGATGTGGGGATGTAAAGGATTAATGTTGTGTCTCTTGTTTGTTTACTCTTTGCGTTTCATGGCATTTTAAGCTCTCTTTTCTCATGGTGTGCTAGACTTTTGTCCCTTCCTAGTTTACTTATTTTTAAGGCTCTTTTTTGTTAGTATGCTCAGACTACCTGAACTAGAAGAGAAATTTCTTATCAAAAACATAATGTTAATTGTGCAGTGCATTGCACCCTACTCCACTCACAACAGTCTAACATTGTGGTCAGGTGGTTAGTAAGTGAGCTGAAAATTTGATTGATGGCAACCAAGATATAGAGGCTAATGGTAGAAGGCAGCTAGTGCAATGACTAGGGAAATGAATGAATAATTGGTGGTAAACTGTGTCTTTTAAAACTAGAACTTCACAAAGTCTAGGGTAAGATTTAGTGAAATGACCCTTAGCTGATATTTAATTAATATCACTTGTTCACAGGATCCAAAAGAAACTCCCCCTCCAACACGTGGAGAAACAAGAGATGAAAAAACAGAACGCAAGGTACATATAAAGTATCTTTACGAAAACATTTTTCATGTACTACAGAGAAATGTGGAGCAAGAGTTAATTCACATGAAGAATGGTTAGGTAATCCTTTTTAGGGAGGAATTGATTGATGAAGATTTCCAGAAATCAATACAAATGAATTGTATTGAGTCGCATCCTTTTCAATGCCAGATTATTGAACTTTAGGGTAAAGGCTCTTTTCAGCTTTGTTAAGTTAGGTGCTAAATGTCTTCTGATAAAATTAAAATTGATTTTTAGAGAAAAGAAAAAATAGAACGTACTACAAAGTTTCAAGAAGAGCAGATGGAGCAATGTAAGTAGCTTTACAAAATGCAGTCTAAAATATTGTTTTTTGTTAAGATTGTTTTTGTTGTTGTGGCATCTGTCTGATTATTTGTGATTTCATGATTCCCAATGCTAGAGTAATTTCTCTGATGTAAGAGAAATCTCTTACATCAGATTACATTGCAATTTAAGTGTTTGCAGGGTTGGGTGTGCTCATGGGAGCTCAGCTAGGAAAGGTTGCTGATTCATCTACAGGATTTTTGCAGATACTTGGATTGTGAAGTCAAGAACTGCCTGTGGAGATCAGTAGATCCTCTGTACTACTTGCATGTTCCTGCTTAAAACTTTTGAGAAGGGCTATATGGTTACATTCCTGAGTTTGAATTTCATTTCTTTACAGCTCTTTGTTTCCTTTTTATCTAGGGGATCCTCATAATGATGCAAATGCTGTTGGAACTGATGCATTCAGGACACTTTTTGTTGGAAGAATTGTAAGTAATGTGTCTAGCAGTTTTATCTCAATATATTAGATTTAAACATGGAGGGAGAAAATTATGTAAGCATACCAAACTTGTACGTATTTCCAGCAATATGAAACTATCAGGCTTTGGACAAAACTAGTTTTGTATACATCAAGTGGCTAACAGAGCAAGACAGAAAAAGAGTGCAAGGCTGTAAGCTTGTCTTTTTCATTGTCTCCCTTTGGCAACCTGAAATTGTTAAATTGTGACTAGCAATAATTGAAGACTGGCCTCTAAAAATGACACTTTGTGTAACATGACTGAAGATGATACACTTGGCTAGTTTTTTAAAGGAGGATGGTTGTCAATGTTTCATTTATTGAAATCATTTTGGAGGTTCACATAACATCTCAAAGCTTAAATCTTCTGACAAATATGCTGAAAAAGGGAAGAATTATCTGCTTAAATGACTTTTCAAATAAATTTTTATTGGTCTTTAACTTCAGACCATAGACACGAAATACATTTGGTGGCTCAGAGGGATATCAAACCAATATTTTCATTTGAATTTTGTCCTACTGTAGAACTTTGACACCTCTGAATCTAAACTGAGACGAGAGATGGAGCTGTATGGGCCGATCAAAAGAGTGAGTGATTTACTTTTGATGAATTATGTTGCTTTGCAGTACATTTAATTATTTATTTGTATGTTTGATGCAGCAGTATTAAAAGATGCTGTTGTCTCAATAATATGGGATAGAAACATTGGTGTAAACAAACCAATGGCAAATCTTGAAGTAGCTTGTGTCAATTTTTTTAATACCCATCAGAAGATATCATTCTAAAGCACTTGTTCACAGCTTATTCTTTCCAATATCCTGAGTGTTTTTTTTTTCATGATTAACACTTGATATATTGCTTGTTATTTTGGCAAGGAAATTCTAAAATACAATTGTATAGTAATGAAAGACAATATTATTATGTACTGAAAGGTCCTTGTAGCTCTCTCAAGGTGAACTTAAATGGCATTTATCTGATTATGATAAGTGCACAAAATTGGCAATTTTCTTGAATTCTTAGTTTTAGGCACAAATCCCTGATTTTCCTTTAAAAGTGTAACTGATTCAACCATTTTATTCCCTTGGGTGACCAAGACATAATTTTTCCTTCCAATATCAATTTGACATCAAGCTTAATTTCCCTAGACAACAGTTTCATGCAGACTTCTTAATGGCAGAGATATCATTTAGATGACATTTGGAGCACATTTCTTATTTAAAGTTTCAAAGAATTATTAAATGTGTGGCTCTCTACTCTATTGTAGATCATTTACCTCTGAAGTTGATAAGTCTGAAGTCATTCATGCTAGTCCAATTCAGATATTTTATTACTCTATTCATTTGTAGATTCACTTGGTGCACAATACAACAAATGACAAGCCTCGAGGTTATGCCTTTATTGAGTATGAACATGAACGAGACATGCACGGTGAGTATCGCACAATTTTTTGTCAATGTAGACCTTCAATATTACCACTTATATCTGTCCTACTTTACTTCAATATACATGTATGTTGTAATTTGAAAAGAATTTAAGTCAAAGTGACATAAACCTAGATTAATTTTTACTTTTCTAGAAAAAACACAAATCAACTAGTTTAAAAAAAAACATTTTGAACTGAATTCTATTTCAACCTACAACATGTACATGGTTTTCAATAATTCACTATTTTTCCTAAAATTTCCTTGATGTGCTTTGAAAGCAAGGTTGAGGGAATCGAATATGTTTAAACTTGTAATTTTTTTCATCTAGAGACTCCAACATGTGTATTTTGTGGTTTGAATTTTTCAATCAAGTTGATTTCAACTCCTTTGTTTCCTTTTCATTATCATGGCCCCATAAGACTTTGAAAACCACAAAATGCAAATGTATTACTATTTGATAGTTACCAAGTTCATAATTTTATTATTAAGATTAAAGGTAGCATGTATTCTTACTCCCGTAAGTATGATAGAGAAGGTTACTGCAAGCAGCTGTGAGACAGGTACAAACAAGGCTTATGGGTAATGGTGTTCAGTAGTTTAACTTATACATATTCTTTGGTGTACATAATTATAGGCATTTACGATAAAACTACACATGACATGGTAAAGGGTTGATCTGTGCAATTCAGAATTTATTTTTGACAAACACACTTCGAGTGGTCTTGTTTACTAGCAATGCTAAATTTACCAGTATTGCAAAACCAAAGGTTGTATTTCTTGCGCTTTGGAATAAACACTGGTGGAAAAAGAATCTGTGAAAAACTGGTAAAAAAGGAAATGAAGATAAAGAGAATGCTTCTAGAAAAGCTTTGATCAAGCTGCCTTTGAAACATCAACAGACTAGTCTCTTTTTAAGACTGGTCGATGTTTTTCACTTTTGCGATTCTTCAAAGTCAACAAATTAAGCTTGTTTTTAGTAGATTTGGACCCAATTTTAGCTTAAGAGGAAGGGAAGGAACATTTGTTTGAATTCTTTACTAAGTTTCCCTATTTTGATCGAATCTTGCAGTGAATACTGTATCACTCACCATCACATGAAACTGAGAGTTATCTTTGATGGGCCAGTACTTGGTTTACTTTTCCAATTACTCTTGTACTCTCCTGAAAGATAATCAGGTAAAAAATGGTGGGTATAGGTTTCTGGCAGGTAAAACTGAGTTGACCCTCACTGTTTTCAGTCCAAAAGAAAGAGAAGAAATCCATGCAAATGCTAAAGGGAAAGGTTTCGTTGTTGGCTGTGGAAAATTGAATAGAAAATTAGATTTGCAAAGGGCGAAAATGCAATGAAATTATCTGTTGTAAGCCAAATTCTTTTTGAGAACCAATTTTGTCATCAGTGAATTTTGAGGTAATATTGATTTACAGATTTGTGTGCTGTTTAAGGATTTTAAAGTATTTTTGATCTCAAAAAATGCACAAAAGGAGTGAAAGTTGGCTCAAAAAGTGATTTCAACCTTTGCTTTCAATATTTTTTGCTATCAAAGCAGCATCCTAATTACATTCTGTTTGCAATGAACTGGAATTGGTTTTTAAAAGAATAAGAGAAGAAATCTTTTTCTGGCCTGACGTGAATTTCCTGCATCAAAATGCAAATGGTTGTCTACCATACTGGAAAAGGGGTAAACAGTCTTTGATAAAATACAACTAAAATTAGTGTGTATGGGAAAGAAGGGTGGCTAAATTTCCATATTAAAATAATAATTTCTCGGGTGAGTATAACCAAGGGAAGCCAATTTGCTATTTCTTTTTGTGTCTTAAACTAGTTAAGAATGGATTTGCAATTGCATTTCTGACCAGTTATTGAAACACTTCTGGACAATGGTAAATATGTTCACCAGTGTTCAGTTCATTACAAGTGTTTCCATAGCTTCATGGAGATCAAAGAAACCGTTCATTCTTAATGAAATAAATTTTAGTGTTTGACATTAATAAGATTATTGAAATCTTATTGCATTATATGTGTAATAGTTTGTTGCCTCAACTTGGTAATTCAGGATAAGCGCAACTCTAAGTGGAATTAATGAGATCCAAAACATTTTAGAGGGAAGGGTGGGACAGGATAGGATGTTAGATTGGCTTCCTTTGGTGAAGTCACTGGTTGTGATGGTAATGAACTACAGTGACACATACACAAAGTACTGGAGAGCAATGACTGTCAACACTCTTTGCCGAGTAATGTTGGTTCCGTAAGGACCTGGCAGGAGTGTGAGTATAATTACACTTCATCTTTTTTTTATACCCCTAAATCCCATTTGATTTTATTTTTGCATCTATCCAACTAAAATAAGAGCACTCTTCTATTGGGGAAAATTTTGTTGGAAGGCAAATTGTTTTCTTTTTTTAATGTCAGAAACTATTGGGAAACCAATTCTTCCGGTGTTTTATGATGTGAAGCAATTCTTCCGGTGTTTTATGATGTGAAGCTGGTATACAGTTACTTTTTTCTTTACATTCTGAGCTCAGGGAAATGTAAATACCAGTTTCAGCATTGTTGTGGGTGACCTTTGATTAAGATTTCTCTTGAAATGCTAAAAGGCTACAAAGAAACTTTACTTTGAAAATGAGAAGAGTTGGTCCAATCCTATTCTTGCCATGTAATTTTGAAGTGCAAGGGGAAGCCATGAAGTAGTTCAAAGAGTGTTAAAATTGCGTGCTGGCATGTTTTGGCTGTTCCATTGATGACTAGCTCTGCTCATTTCCTTAACACATACAGTGACCTATCATCAGCTGATAGCAATACAGATGGACCATATTTTCATGCAGTCAACCCCTGGTTATACACACCATTCTGTGGTCCTTATTTTGATACAATTTCACTGATGAAGTAACCAGTTTTATTCAATACATGCAAAGCAAGAATTCTACAGCTTTTTTCCCAGTCAAAGTGCTACACTACTTCACGCAGAGAAGTGAAAACCTTTCTCTCCTTAAAACAGCATCTGATCTTCGTTATAATCAAGAAATTATCTCTTTGAACAAGTTTCTGAATTTTTATAAGTTTGAAATTGTCTATACCTCTCTGTTGGATCACCATGGCCGCGGCATTTGTGTAACTAAGGGTCGACTGTTTACTAAACATCAATGCCTTCGCTACTCCAAAGTTACCGATTATAAAAACAGGCTAAAATTATCCATATCATCCAGATTACTCAAACTCTATGGGTAAAAATGACAAACAGTTTCTTACAAAAACCTGTTGCTTATCTGTGAGCCAAAAGTTGACTGTAAGGTAGTGGAGGGAAGCTGTTCTTTGTTATTACAGTCATCCGTTTTTTGTTTTTGGCATCTGAAGGGTAAAAGGTACAATAATGGTTTAAGACTTTAGGGGCTGACAAGACAGTATTTAGTGAATTTTAGTTTCAAAGATAGTATGTGCACCAAGTATCAGAAAACTTCTGATGAGTGGTGACAGTGTGTTCAAAAGTGAGGACATAGACATAGTTTCTAAATCATATACAGAAAGGTTTGTGATGACGGCCTGTTAGAATGGAATTCTTTATGGCTTGCGCGTAGGCCCGCGTAATTTTCGTTGCTGAACGCGCGTTTTTTCGCCTGCGGAAAACTTGAGACGAGTCGGGAGTCTGGCGCTAGTTATCAGTGTAAGACCGCTTGCAGATCTCTCGCCGGCTCGCGTTTATCAAGGCTTCCTACTTTCACGCAGGCGAAAAACACCCGTGCTGAAGCGGTAATGACGAGGGCCTACTCTTCGGCTAACTTCTTGAATATTGTCTTTGCTGTTGAGTATGAATTGAGTTCAGGTAAGTACGTCCTGTCGAAGGAGACTCTTCATTGTGCGGTCAGCATCACTAACATTTGCACCTTTGTTTTGGTTCTGTTGCAGCTGCTTACAAGCACGCGGATGGAAAGAAGATCGACGGTAGGAGGATCGTGGTAGATGTGGAGAGAGGTCGCACAGTCAAAACATGGAAACCAAGAAGGCTTGGTAAGTCACCACTTCCAGTCTTGTATGCATCAGTATGAATATTCTCCACATTGTTCCGTATACTTGTTCTACTGTATTGACTAGGAGAACATGGTTAACAATCCAAGTTTCCCTAGGTGGCGATCATTTCTTTTATTCTCATAACCTAGATGGTTGGTTCTGCGAAGGTGTTGTAAGGAGAAGTTAGGGCAAGTCATTTTCAGAAGTTAAAGGGTTAGACGGCTGCAAGCTCAGCTGCCTTTCCTATGGTTTTAACCAGGCTCCAGTGCCGTTTATCAGCAGCTGCCTTTCCTTTGATCTCAATGGACGAGCTCAAATAAAGACTTTCTCTGCTTGTTTATTTATCAGTAACACAATGATAGCCTATGACGAAACTTTGTTTTCATTTGTTGTAAAGACATCCGTGTTTCGGTTGATATTGAGATAGCAGCAGATTAGGTTAATAAGACCCTTTGTTGACTAGTACCTGTTAGGAAAGTATAGACCTGGGAGACTTAGTCTTGACGTTAGTTCTAAGGTCGCAGCTTTCTGCTTTTCTTAACTTTTGAAATAACCGTCACACCACACACCTTTTAAAAGAGGTTCCTGCTCATAATTGGCCATGCTCTTACCCCTGTTCGGGCACAGAACTTGAAAAACTTTTTGTTCAGCAGCTATTAAAATGAATTATTACCCTAGCTTAGTCGGGCTCCATTTCCGCAGTTTCCTAGGGTCCGATCTCCGAGGAGCGCGGTTACATTACTGAACAACGGCTACTAATCGGGCCCAGGCCTATCTCTGAGTGCTCAGTTTTCAGCGCCATGATCTTTGTCAATTGCAATATTTGTATTCACCTTTTAAGTGAGATAGCTCTGATACTGAAAGGCATCTTTTCGTCCGTAGGTGGAGGACTTGGAGGAACTCGTATCGGTGGGCCAGACGAGAATGTAAAGCACTCCGGACGTGTGGAGAATACAGAAAGATACGAGTAATGAATTTTACATATTGGCACAAATCAGATACTTCTAACGCGAGCCTTTTCCCTTGAATTTGTAAACGTATTCTTTTGCCTTATTGGAGTTCATATTCGGCACAGTTGCCACAATAGGTGAAAATCATAAAGATGCATATGTGGGAAAGTAATATTGACTGAAGAAAGATTTTCTGCAGTCACAAACACCGCATTGAAATAGTAGCAAACAACCCTCACATCTTTCCTTTCTTGCAGTCATCTTTTACGAATATTGTAACAGTGACATAATGGCCAGCTCACAGTGTTGGCTTAAACTGTGATGATCTTTCTTTAGTTCAAAGAGTTCTGATAATGTCATTAGGCGAAAAAACGATGAGAACTTGTAAGCAACGTGCACTGTTCCATTTATTTGACTCGACTCATTTACTTTGCAGGGACCGTGAACGCGGCGAAAGGGACAGAGGAGGAGAACGCGAGAGGGAACGAGAGCGCGAGCGCTATAGGGACCGTGAGCGTGACAAAGATCGTGAGCGTTACAGGGACCGTGACCGAGATCGCGAAAGAGACCGTGATCGTGATCGTGACCGCGAAAAGGAACGTCGAAAGCACCGAAGTAGGTCACGTGAGAAAGAGCGTGATAAAGATCGTGATCGTGATCGAGACCGGTAAGGGAGAGCCTTTCATTTTGTACTTCGATGGGTAAATATTCTAGTTTCCCTCACCTTTTCTGTTTATAACGCTGGTTTTAAACTATGTAACGCTCTTTTATCGTAGGGACAGGGAAAGGCGACGTGATCGTGACCGTGATAGAGACCGGGATCGCGATCGTGATAGGGAAAGGGAGCGCGATAAAGACCGTGACCGTGATCGTGACGGAGAGCGAATCAAGGAAGAACCGAATGGTGAATACCCACAGTATGACAACGACAACCAGATCGACAACAACAACTTGGATATGGTAGATTAACACGGGTAATTTTTCATTTTACTGCTCATAAAATTTGAACCCTTAGCCTCTCTGTAACTTGGATTCTAATAAACTATAATGTTAAATGATTTCCTAACATTCGGCTCCTCGAGGTAAGAAAATATACTCGGTTTTAAATTTTGTTGGTCGGTTTTAACTATGAAGTGGAGTGCGACGTGAATTCCTGTTCTCTTAATAAATTTTTTCTCAAAATATGTTTTTTGCTTTCAGGTGAAGTTGTAAAAGTCCATCATCACCTCTTCACTGACTGACTTAAAAGGAGGCGTGATAAAAAGCTGAAATGAAGAAAACTGATTCGTTGTGTATTGTTGAAATCGTTTTAGGTTTAATTCAATCCATCTCCAGGAGTATTTCGTCACTTTCCTTGTTTCTGAGTATGCCTTGGCTGGTCATACAACTGTCACTCTTAACCCTTTACACCCTAACATCAGTATGCATAATCTCTAAACATTTTTCTAAGATGCTGACATGGAGAATTTGTCCAACAGTCAAGAGCTTCTTTAGTCGGTGGTTAACTCCTTTATTCTCCTGACCTTAATGTTTGATTCAGTGCTAATATGGTGAGGAGAAATTAGATGTCAGTCACTCTTAGGGGTTAAAGCCGTTGATGAGACAACTTGTTGCGCCAACAACAAAATGAACTTTGTAGGATAGTTGTAGCATTTTTAACTTGTAGCTGTACTTTCGCAAATTTTTGGGAGGCGGCTAGTGTAACGCAATTAACGTAATCTTCGTACATTCTGGGCCAATATTCTGTAATGCTCAGCTGCTTCAGACTTGACGCATCGGATGGAATGACAGACTTGCCGAAATCAATGAAGTAGAACTTTAAAGATGAGATGATTTTCAGCATTCTTGTGCGCGGTTATAATTACCTTATTTAATTGTACATTTATTGTAATTTCCTCGGCATTTGTCATAAGTTTTATGTTAATTCAATATCATTATAACCCTTTATCAACCAACTTTTAAACAAAACGTCTGGAATGGACTTGCCGAGTTTAAATTAAAAAAATGAGACAAATGACAGAGAACCGTGTTTTGCTTTGTGTATGGAAAAGCGAGTTATGAACGAAAAGCGGAAGTGTTTGTCACTTAACAGACTTTTTCTGAAACAGATATAGGACCTTCTTCAGATCTCGAGCCACCTACCTTCCCAGCCCGACTGAGCGTAGACTAGAACCGTATCATGCAATGTACCTTGCGACGATGTACCTCACGACACTTGAGATAACACTCTCACAAATGAGTCGGACAATTTGATAGCCTAGCCTTACTCTTCGTGTCAGCAACTCAAAATGAAACTTTCAACGCTGTTATAACTTCATGGAGATGATAAAAATACTGCAAAAGTAAGGGGGGAGCTAGAGGGTAGGGCGACCCTGCCCACTCGTTCCTAAGGTACATATGTGATCCATGCAAACTCGACTCTGAACAAAAGAAGGCTCTGTTTGTATTTTTTTTTCTTTCACATGACACAGACTTAACATTCATCTCACTAATTGATACTTCTATGACTTCCTGATCACTTTACGCTTGAAAATGTATATTATTCCGAGAAGATACTGCACTAGTACCCAGATCTTCCTCCTTCTATTGGAAAAATGCCAGGCTCCTAAGGCACCAGAATACAGTCACCGGTGAGTCATTCAAATGACGTAAGTTATTCCAGCTGGACGTTTGCCCTTATTACTGTGTTTATAATTCAAAATATTTGCCATATTCTCTTAGGATGACGGATAAAAATTTTCCAAGCGAACTAATAAAACTCAAGGGAAGACAGCCGCTACCACAGAACCATCAAAATCACATCAACAATATGACTGACACAAGTCCTCGATCATTCAAAAGTAAGTGGCATTCTCGAAGTTTCGAGAGAAACTGAGAAAAAGCTTCTTTGTTCAGCTGTCCTGGTTGGATTTAATCTTCAATCTGGCGTTGGCCTTGTCAGCAAAAAAAAAAAGAAACTGTCCTAGTTATGGATTGAAAATATGGGCTCTTCGCCCTGGTCTCAATTACTTGCTCTCTGTGTTTCCGGTGTGAGCGTGACGGAAACAGTTCTTCGCAAAAGCCTTCTTTTAGTTTTTTCTTCCATCTTGTGTTCGACATATCTGATGAGCCTACTGTAAAATCTGCAGTAATTCTAGTTGCTCTAAAAACATGGTAGCGTGGGCAGCTTAAACGAGTCAGTCTCGTATTCAGACTAAAACCATTTTCCATTGAGCCTCGAAAGTAATACACGATACCTTTTAGTTGTGTTTCACTTCTCTATTTGATTGGTTCGGACGTCCAAATAACTTGTGTTTCCCTTTCAAGTAGACGGATGCAAAACTGAACAGATGGTGTCTTTGTCACTTGGCTCTTCCATTTTCTAGTTTTTACTTTGACTACTCAATGGTTGCTTCTAATATTTTCCTATTTTGTGATTAATTAATTATTAAATTGTTTTTGGTTTAACGACACTTTATCAAAAAGTGCATGAGTTCTCTATTTAACTTGGATCATACACTAACATGTAAATGTTCTTTTCCTCTGATGCAGAGGAAACATCGCAAAAGTCGGAAAACAATACAGGACCCTTCATTGTATTAGGCCTGATATTTTTAACATCCTTAGTGGCACTAGCCTTTGTTTACTGGAGTTTTCCCAAGCTGAGACCGTAAGTCCTATTTCTATTCATCTGTCTTTTTCTTTTTGGGTAGAGCTTTTTTCATTGCTAAAAATTAGTATTGAAAATCATTATCCAACTATGCTACACTTCACTAGCTGGTTTGCTTTTCCTGCTTTATAAGAAATGGGCATAAAATAAAGCAGATGGATAATAAATTACTTATTAAACATTTTGGTGTGTAGTATTGCTAAGTATTTTAACTCATTGTTTGTATTTTGACTTTTCCAACAGGCTCATTGAAATATGGCACAACTCGTAAAAATATTCAGTGATAACACACACAAAAACATATCTTAAAATATATGTATTATAAAAATTTAAACTTAGGATTAAGAGTCTGATGTATATGGGCTTTTTGAAATCTTTCAAATGGTATGATTACTAATTTTTCTTATAACATAGCACGTGTTCTTGCCCTATATAAGTCCTATTGAGCCACCATTACGCACACCCATGCATAAATAAGATGATGTGAGCATTTTTTTTGTGACCATTGAGTTCATTTGGCTTTGATTTTCTCCTTTTCCCCCATAAATTTTGAGCTTTTTGTTCACAGTTATCGGTTATTGGGAGGGTGTAATTGAGAGCAAAATATAATTGATTTTACTTATTCAGGAGGATTTGTGCTATACATGCAATGCTTTCTCCTTTTTATATTGCTTTGTGACACATAAATTGATCAAATCATATAAAGATTTCATTGAACCCTCAAACTCCTCAGATCCAATTAGAAATTCTCCCCACTGACTGCCATTCATTTAACTTTTAAAGAAGACAAGAGAATTTGGTGTTTTATCAAGATGACTCCATCAAGCTGATAGGGGTGTTTGTTCTCATAACCTGTTTGCAAGATAACATATTGAAACTGCAAGGAAAAGTTACACATTAATCACTTACCTCACTACCTATACCAGCCATTATCTTTTGAGTTTGAGGAACTTCATGCTGTAACGGTCTCCGTAGTGCAAACACCGGTACCCTACAAATAATATCTCTAAAAGTAAAAACTGACTATGAATGTAATGTTTACAAAAACTTTCACAATTCACAGTGAAGACAAGGCAAGGATAAAACTTCCAAGAGACATGGAAGATGCAAAAGGATTAGGAAGAGCATTGTCCAATTACACAGATGAATATTTTACTCAAGTTCTTCTAGGCTTTGTTGTAATTTATATTTTGTATCCTTTTCATTAAGTTTTTGTTTTGTTTTTTTGAATTTTTTGCCATAGTTAATTTATGCACTGTAGAGAATTAGAATTTTATTTTGGATTGATCTAGAGTTTCCCACGTTTCAGCTTTTTATAAATACTTGTTAACCCTTTGGGAGACTTGTATCTAATTGCTCCTCACAATATCATCCCCCAATCAAACATTTAGATCACAAGAATAAAGGAAATGATCATCTACTGATGGAGCTCTTGATTGTTAAACAAATTCTCCTTGTGAGCACCTTAGGGAATGTGCAGAGCACAGTATGGAGAATATGCATACTGATACTAGTTTATATTAAGGGTTAGTTAGCTGAGGTTTTACATAGTCATGAGGTGCAAGATTTAAGATTTCATCATGAGTTTCTTGTTTCCTTTATCTCATGGTGTTGTGATGGTTAATGCTGCAGTGTTTTCTTTAACCTTTCACACAGCTTGCAAACATTTGCTATACCAGGATCAATATTTCTCAGTATTTTATCAGGATTTTTATTCCCTTTTCCTTTAGCTCTATTTTTTGTTTGTCTGGTAAGTTAATTTGGATTTTAAGGTTTAATTGATCCTAATTTTTGAAACACTCAGAGATCTACAAAGTGTATCTAAGGTCTTCTTTATCATATTTGTTCTATTTTTTCTTACTCAGAACGTGAATTGTTTCTGTTTTACAGTGTTCCAGTGTAGGTGCATCATTCTGTTATTTATTGTTTTACCTGGTTGGTCGAAGGCTGGTAAAACATTATATGCCAGAGAGAGTAGATCAGTGGTGTGAACAGGTACTTCCATTTACCTATTTTTAAGTATTTGATTGTACTATCCATTTCCTAATTTTCCTAATTTCCCTATTTTCCTAATTTCCTTATTTTCTCATCCATGCTACATCTTTCTTTTTCTTCCTGGTTCTTTGGTTTGTTTCCTTCACTAATAAATACAAGCTCTGTCTCTCAACAATGTCAGATTTAGAAACTCTTTACGTTGGCCAATTTACGTTATCAACTCAGTTGATAAAACCAGACTATCTTGTAATATCCCCTAGGGATGTAGCACCACAGTTTCCTTAAAAACTTGCTCCTTTAAATTTATTATCAACATAATGATTGACGGGGAATGAGTGGATAAAGAACATTTTATGGATGCACCACTGCTAAATTATACTCATATAATTATTTAGTTAATTATATTAATATAATTTCAGTTGTATATTATTGGAATTTATAACTTTTGCATTTTATATTTTGTCACAGGTTAACCATCATCGAGACAACCTCCTAAGCTACATTATATTCTTGCGCATCACTCCTTTTCTTCCCAATTGGTTCATCAACATTTCTTCTCCAGTGATAGGTGTCCCCCTTTTGCCATTTTTTGTCGGCACTTTTGTTGGTAAGTCATTTTAAAAAAATTGATAACGTCACCTCGATAATGGCCAAGACGTGTTTCATGAACTTGCAATTCTTGTAAAAGTTTTGTAGCAGTTTCTTAGTGTTACGGAAATCAGTTATGTATTGGCTATCATGAAGAGTTGCAGACATTTTCAGTCTATTTTATGTTAAGTTACTTTAGTGGTGATTGTGCCTATTTCAAAAGTTACTGCCATACTTGAATTCAACTCACATTCCCCTTTCCAAAAACAAAAAACAAAATACACTTATTTGGGCCCATTTATTAGTTATATTTTGTTTGTGCATAGGTGGCATAGTGTAGATTAATTTTTGCTTTGAATATCATTTTTTAGGTGTTGCTCCACCATCTTTTGGTTTTATCAGTGCAGGAGTTGAACTGTATGTTTTAACAACCACAGGGGATGTAATGTCATTCAAGTCCATCACGATTGTGGTTGTGTCTGCTCTTCTGTCATTAGCTCCAGTGATATTCAAAAGACAACTTAGGGCAAAGATAGAATAAAATAAATAATTTTTATAATAGCTTATTTTAATTGATTTTGCTCAATAATTAGGTAAATGTGTATGGGAGAGAAAGCGTGTATTCATTGAGATAAGAAAAAATTTTCTCTTACAATTTTTGTAAGTACTAGTAATGTAGGGGTTTCATTGAAAGTTGGTTGCTGGCAGTCCACAGTCACCTTTTAACCCTTTAACTCCAAAGAGTGACCAAGACAGAATTTCTCCTTATTCTATCTATACAATATCATGCAGGCAAGTGATGAGGATAAAGAAAAATATCCATTATGGGATTACTAATCGATCCGATAACAAATTCTCCAACCTAACATAATGAGAATCATTTGGCAGATAGTAAGGAGAATTACCAGTGAGATCTTGGGAGTTAAGGGGTTAAGACATCCTGCCACTGTCTGTTTAGCTGGTGAGCAGGTTCTCTTGCTAAGGTTTTGCCTCGTAGTCACTTTTCTGGGCACAACTGCCTATTACACCTGAGGCAGCCACTTAAGGAAAAAGTTACCGGTGGTGGCAAATAGTCATATTTAGCAAGACCAAACTATTTGATGTCATGTGATCTAAGTAAAAAATTCAGAGGAGGACTTTGACTTAGGGTGCTATAACAAAAGACCATTTTGGAGTTCAGAAGCCTCACTTTTCTAGGGAGAAGTGTAAAGACTTTCTGGTGAAAGTAAATCTGAGTACAAAATATAAATCCACATCAAAATAAAACGTTTTTGTCCTCACTCTCATTTTGAGTGAAAGGTTTGTGCATCTCACAATGGCTATTACTATTGACTCTAATGGTCTGGTTGTAAGCTATTCAAAACTCCAGTATGTATGGTAAAGATACTGAAAAATCTAAATGTTCTGGGGTTTGGAGAATGTTGTTGTAGTTGCTGTTGATTTTTCTCTTTTTGACCAAAAAATGCCTCGAGGGTTCTAGAAGAAATTCTGAGTAATTTAGGCTTTTTGTTTGCTTTTGGTAAAGATGCTGTTTGTTTGCCAAGATTATGATTATTTAATATGCATTTAAGTTTTCAGGATTTTATCAGCTGCTTGTAATATCTGTACAAGAGGGACCTAATTTATTGCTACAAAATTCTGTTATTATGGAACAATAAATTTTGAATTGAAAATACTGCCATTGTTATCATATTGGCACAGTGGTGTTCTTATCATTTGACTTATTGAATGTAATGTTTCAGAGGAATAGAGTTATTGAGACCTGTCATCATAGTAGTCATGAGAATAAATTCCTTTCACATTGTATTTATTTACTGGATAATCTCAAGCTCAAATGTACTTTAAAGTCTAAAGCTGTTATGAACATCAATGTTAAGGTTATTAAACATGTTTATTATCATCTGAATATAATACAATGTTTGGTTAGATATCATTTATTAATGGTGGGTTTTTTTCCTTTTTCCCACACTTCCTGTTTTGTTATTTAGACAGCTGTACTGTCATACAATCATTCTGTTTTATTACCCTTTGACCCCAAAGAGTGACCAGCAACTAATTTCTCCTTACATTATAACCCCTGAATCAGCACCAACCAAAGAAGCTCTTGATTGTTAAACAAATTCTCTTTATTAGTACCTTAGAAAACGTGTAAAGAAAAGTCTGGAGAATATGTGTACTGATGTTAGAGTGTAAAGGGTTAAAATACCAACTAACAATGTTATGGTTTTGGAAGATGTTTTATAATTAAATTGCTTCAATCACGGAAAAAGAGGAGACTCTTCTCGAGTTATTTCTTGACCCTCAGGTTTGACATAAAGCCTACAACAAACGATTTGCGGAAGGGCGACGTGTTGAAAAAATCTCAGCTGTTTTGTCGCGACTCTCCTGAATCTCCTCTCTTTTCTCTTACCTTTGACCTTGTGGAGTCTGGGCTCTAACGAAGACTCGATTGAAATATGGCGACTGCGATTTGAAATCACAAAATATTTTTTTTAACTTCAAAAAAAGGTACCGAGATAAAATTGAAAATATTGTAAGAAGGTTTTATGTTAAAATTCAAGCGTCTAATTTTAGCGGCCATAAAGTTCCAGGAGCGGAGGACCACTCTTGTATCTTCAGTACATATTATTCGACGGACTTGCTCTTCCGTAGTGTCTTCTGACGAATTTTTGGATAAAATGTCTGGAAAATCCATGCCAAAATGGATACAGCCGGAAGGGAATGGGGAACTTAAACTTTACAACAGTCTCACTCGTGAGAAGGTGAGAATTTTTCCTTTCGTAGTATTTTTGTAGTTAATTTTTCGGTATATGAACAATCCATGTTTAATCATCGAAATCTGATGCAATTATTTCTGTGATGGAACAGCCAATCGTAATTAGATACGTCTTTTACAAATTATGTTCTTGTCAAAGTGAGTCACTATTGCTACTCCTAAATATTTTGTTTCCTCTTTTGATTTAAATCTTCTATTTACAGGTAGCTTTACAATATAGTTTTTATTAATTAATTCTTTTGATGAACGAAATTTATCCTTAGCTCGTTTCCGGAAGAATTGATATTTCATTTTCCTTAAAATTGATATATTTTCAGAGGAAAAAATAATAATAAACAACTTTGGGCACAGAAGAAAAATGAATTTCAAGTTAAAACTTGCTGAAAGCAAAAAGTAACCATTTTTCAACTGACAACTGAGTTTATTTTATGCCTATCCCAAGTGTTAACAGACATACCTACTCAGTATGGGCTCTGAGAATTCTAAGTTCTTTCCAGCCTTAACCCTTAATAACCTAAAATCAGTATGCATATTTTCCATACTGTTCTCTAAACATCTCCTAAGATACTGACATGGAGAATGTGTTCAACAATCAAGAGCTTCTTTAGTTGATGATCAGCTCCTCTATTCTCCTGACATTAATGTTTAATTCAAGGGTGATATGGTGTGGAGAATTTAGATGCCTGTTACTCTTTGGGGTTAAAGGGTTAAGGTGAAGTGATGGGAATTTAGTAAACGAGCTTGCAGCATGATGTGGATGAGTGGTCAAGATGTAAGGCTCACAATCTAGGGGTTTAGGGCTGATGGCCATGCAGGGCCAGGTTGTTCCAAAGCAGTTAAACATCCATACTGGGATAAATGCGTACAAAACTTATATGTTACCATGGCAATGAAACCAGGATTAGAGCTAATCATGCTTTGCACACTAGCCCAGGTGGATTTGTCTCAGAGCAGTCCTGAGTTCAAATCCTAGCCTAGGATTGAAAATAAATAAAGTGGGTAAGTTTCTAAAGAAACTGTGGTTCTGTGTTGGTAGGAGAGTATAACAGGGTAATTTAGTATTATTAACTGAGTTGGGAATATGGTGACAAGAAAACAAGAATAAATTTAATTAGTTAATTCTTGTTTTCTCATCACCATATTCCCACCAGTAGCATTAAGCTCCATTTTCTACATATAAACCCACACACAACCTACGATTCCTCTAATTGCTCTTACGAAGGGCTAATGCTCTAAATATCAGCCTTTAAACTCTTTACGGTGGCCAATTTATGTTTTCAGCTCAGTTGATAAAATTAAATTACCCTAGGATTGAAAATAGCCTACTGATTTGCCTCCTCCCTGTTGGGTTTGTAATTATATTGTGATTGATTTGGATTATGATATTAGGTTTATCATTGCTTTTACTACTGTTTACTTTTCCCTCTATAAATAGAACCTATTACTAGTAAGTGACTGTATATTTTCATTTATTGATTTATTTCTGCATGCTAGAATGTGTTTGTACCACAGAAAGGCAGAAGAGTGTTTTGGTACAGTTGCGGGCCTACAGTGTACGATGCATCTCACATGGGACATGCAAGGTACAAGCTTAAATATATTCATGGTCTTAAACAAAATATTATTGAATTTCTATGTTGAGCTGAGAAAATTCTTTTGTGAAAAAGAATATCTTTGAGGTTCAATTGTAAATCCAGATTTTCATTGTACAGGGCTGGACGTAGAAAGGATATTTTATGGTCTACTTCTTGTAGTACATTATTTCTGGTTTCCTTTAATGGATAATGAAAGTTTTGTTTATTAAAATATATCACTGAAATATTAATGGTAGGGAAATGTATAACAGATTTCTAGCACAGTGATCAGCTGCGCATAAACTCAACTCAGGGAAATAACCGTTAACTCTTTAACTCCCTACGTCTGATTGTTTTTTCTCCCTTCTAGCTTGTACACATTTCCTTGTCAATAAATAACCAGAATTTGGCATTAAATCAACAACTTCTACCTGATAAGTTTGAGTGTTCCCATTACCTGTTTGCTGGATGATGTGTGGATATTTTAGGGAGAGGTTACTGGTTAATCACTTCTGGGAGTTAAGGGTTAACCATTAAAAAATGAAGGAATTACTGTCAGACTCTGAAAACCATTGAACTATGGACTGTCTGGAATTTTCATAATGGAAGATTATTTTACATGAGACATCTATCTGAGCTAACTACAAACCACAAATTAATAACATTTCTGCACCTGATTGACTTGCTTTGTTTACTAAAGTCATATATTTGAAATATTTCCAATGTCCATGGTTCTCTGAATCTTAAATACATTTTTTATAGATTTTCTGGCTATATTAATTTAATTTTCTCTTCCACATTTCAGGTCTTACATCACTTTTGACATTTTACGAAGAGTACTTCAATCTTACTTTAACTACGATGTGTTTTATGTGATGAATATAACAGACATTGATGACAAGGTAGCTGGTTTTCTAAATTTTTTAAAGTAGCTGATTTATCAATTTGCTGCAAAATTTTTTCTCTTGCCTTTTGAATAGTTGTAGGGGTCCTTAAAAATATTCTGCTAGATTGTTCACACAGCTGCATAATTTGCAAATGTTCCTCTGTATGGATTTGGTGAATGACTTGATTAAATAATCTTAAACTGGAAAGAAAATTCTTTTCTTCAGCAGTGAACCCCTCTTTTTCCCAACCAATGATATTGATTTTTGATAGTTTGTATAATTATGTTATAATTGTAGTTTAAGTTATTTGTGGTTAAAATGAATTCATACTAATATTATCTGAGTGAGGTTTTTTTGTTTATGGATTAATCTAATTGAGAAACAATAATACAAATTAAACTAGTTGGAAACCAATTGCAACCTTACAGATTATCTTCAGAGCAAGGCGAAACCACCTGTTAGAGAAGTACATCGAGGGGGCAAACCCTCCAGACAAAATATTAGATGATGTGAACTCTGCATTGGGGGTATGTTTGGTAGCTTAGAGTTAACTAGGGAATAGCTGTGAAACTGAAATTTAAGCCCTAAGAAATCTTATGCTTGTATAATTTTCCTTAATTTTCTCATCATGTTTGTACAAATTTAAAGGTCAATATCTGTAGCACTATACTCAGTACCACTGCCATTATTTTATTACAGTAACCATTTCTGTTGCTATGCTCTAAAAATCACTCCCTGCACAATGCACCACAAAAAAATTGCCAAAATTCCAAAGTCTAAAATCCTGAATGTTTTTATTTCTAAAATAATAATCCCAGTTTTGAAAATATTTGCATGTATTTGTGTTATAATCATGATTATTTTAACCTCTCACTTTTAGGATTGATACAGGATCTTGTTTCAGTTTGTTTTCCTTTTTCCTACAGTTTATTACAAAGTCCTGCATAATTTGATTGTTTTAGTGTAAATTAATGCTTGTTGGTACTTACGTGTAACTTAAATAAGTTTTCCTTTTCTTCCAGCCATATTCTGCCAAAATGGACAGTACCACAGATGCAGACAAGAAAAATATGTATTTTAAAATTATTGTAAGTTGTGTCATTTATTTTAAAGAATTTGATGTACAGATTTTTGTTAATGTTAATTCTTTTGAGTAGTTTAAATGCTTCTGAATCAGAAGAGGAAATTATAATTTTTTTTAGGCCTGAGTGTAATTTTTTTCTTCAAGGAAAAAGTGAAATTGTGTCATTCAAGATTAAAAGAACTACTAACAACAAACAGCAGCTCTGATGAAGTTGTCAGATCAGCAACTCAGGTGAATTTGTGATAACTTTATTTTTTTGAGGGTGGTAATTAGTCCAGCTTAGGTAACCCCCCCTCCCCCCACACAGATTTTGTCAGGCTTCAAATCACTGGTACCTAATTATATACTTGTGGGTGGGCATTATTGGTACGGTGAGAGTGAAATGACTTGCCCAAGAAATCAAAAGAATGATCTGGCCAGGTCTCGAATGTGGACCTCTTGACTTGGAGTCCATCATGCTGACAGACAGTTCTCCTGGTCTCTTTTTTTTCAATGCTGTTAGCATAAATGGATCAAAACCAGGGATCAATAATCATGTGTACAATGTGATCATCTGAAGAAAAGTAGTTCTGAGAGGGATTGATATCAGTAAGAGTGACCAGGGTTTCAACAACCCTCTAGAGTGGAAGTAAAAGATTCCTAAGTAGTTCCCTATTACCAACTTCTCTTTGCAAACATACAATTTAACAGAACACTTAATGATTACCTTTTCTGTACTTGACCCAGGGCTTAGCATAGAATTAAATAACAACAGCATGGGTTATACACAGGCTGTTCAACAGGCTGCCCAGTAAGAACTGAACACTAAATAGATATTAAATTTACATAATACTTTAATTTGACACAGGAGTTGTTGCGTCAGGCAAGTGAACCTCTATCAGCCTGGCTAGACTCTCAAGTAAGATACTCTTTTTGACTATGGTTCAACAGTGGCTTGTAATTGCTAAATTTCAATATGAGATTTTAAGCTTTCTAATTTATGGTATTTCTTCTTTTTCCCAGTTTGGATCAGATGTGACAGACCACAGAATATTTGCAAAGCTCACCCAGCACTGGGAGGATGAATTTCACAAAGACATGGAAGCTCTTAATGTACGTCAAACTTTTCTTTGCAAGTTCATCAAGAATTTGTTGCTTGCCAGGAACATTCTTTATTCATTTGAATTATAATTGAAATTTGGAGTAGTTAGTGAAAAATTTAGTCAAAGCTCCAAGCTCAACAAAGGTGCCACATTTGAAAACCTGAAATCTTGATATAGTTGCAAGACCTGGGCATTTATTTTCCATAAAACAGGAAAGAAAGGTTTACCTATTACACTTTCACCCTTTAACTCCCAAGATCTGATATTTGCTAATTTTCCCCTCCAGCTGTCACACCTTCTTTGTAAATAAATTAAAGGAATGTGGTGTTAGATCAAGATAACAACTTCTATCTGTTAAGTTTGAGTATTCTCATTACCTGTTTACTGGATTATGTACAGATATTATAGGGAGAAGTTGCAGGTTAATCACTTTTGGGAGTTAAATGGTTTACTGTAGACCATAACCTCTTGAGTAATAAAAGCATGCTATGTGACTGCTGAACACAGGATGCCAAATTGACTTTTGAATTTCCAACTTTGTGGCTAAAATTTTTTGCACTTTCTATGGCAAATGAAATGGTCACACTTTGGGATGTTGCCAGAAGTATTGATTGAAATATGTTACTATATATTTCTTTCAGATCCTTCCAGTGGATTGTTTAACACGAATCACACAGTATGTGCCTGAGGTGGTAACATTCATTCAAAGAGTTATGGACAATGGATACGCGTAAGTGAAAGTGATGCTTTGTTGGAATAACTTTTCAACTTTTTCCCCCTTGAAACTTAGTATTGTAACAAAGAAAGTTAAACAAAGATGGTGAAGCAGATGGTGATTTTCACTGGCAGCTGCCCAGAAGTTTGGAACAAATGAAGAAAGAATGATGAGAGTTCCCTGCAATGCTAAAAAGTCTTGCAGTGACAGTTCTCCTGGTGTAACATTCCTGTTTTTGCCAAAATAGTTTTTAATTATCAAATTGGGTTAATTTTAATTTGTGGAACATGTTGCTGGTAACAAGTGACTTGAGTTTAAAATATCACATCAGGTGCAATAGTCAAATTTGAAAATTTATATAAAAGGAATTTTACTCACTGAATTAAAATCAATCTAACTTTTAATACATTTTTGACCCCAGTTGTTTTTTCCTTTTTGTGCTCTCTGCAGTTTCTGTGCCTTTTCCTCAGCACGGTCCATCCTTGTGTGACCCAGTAGCATAAAGTTAAACACACTTGCTGTGTAGTACATACAAAGGAGGTCTCCTCAACCCAGGTCCCTGAGCCAAATGCACCCTAACATTTGTTATATTTTACTCCAGGTATGAATCAAATGGCTCTGTGTATTTTGACACCATTAAGTTTGGCTCTGGTGGTAAGCATGCATATGCAAGGTTGGTACCTGAAGCAGTGGGTGATCTGGATGCATTGGCAGAGGGAGAAGGTACAACTATAATTTGTACAAAAGATGCAAATCAGTGCCAAACAAGTCTGCGATCATAACATTTAATGAATGAATAAAAATTTTAAAATTTGATTCATATGGGGTGAATTATGATCCACTGATTCCTTTCCAATTGAAATATTTGGAGTGTTAATTTGTGTGAAAGAATGAAAAAAAAAAAAAATGAATCCTGAAGGAAAACTCATGGAGTTAGGAGAAGGACCAATATAAAAAAGTCAGACCTTATGTACTTGTGAATCCAGGTTCAGAAATTTCAGTGAGGGCATAGCATTTGAAGGCAAGTACCTTCAACATTGTGCCTGCATCCTATATCCTTTTCATCCTCTAACTACTTTGTGTTTCTATTCATGATTAGGAGAACTAAGTCAAAACCCAGGAGACAAGAAATCTGAACGTGACTTTGCACTGTGGAAAGCCAGTAAACCAGGTGAACCTGCTTGGGACTCTCCTTGGGGAAAGGTAACCAATGCTAACAACGAGGACTTTTGTAGGATTATACACACAGATTCTTGCCACAACTGGAAATAAATTATATTTTTGTAAACACTTTTTCAATTACTAGTCATTAGTGTCTGAACGTAGAGCTAATTCAGCAAGAATTCAATTCTCCATAACTGATAATTAATAATTGATTTTTGCTATAGGGCCGACCAGGATGGCATGTAGAATGTTCTGTGATGGCAAGGTTTGTTACTAGTTTAAGATAATACATTATGTTTTCCTCTTGATATCTGTAATCCATCTTCAAATTGATAAATGTATTTATTTTGATTATAGTGAATTGGCATGAAGTGGCCAGGGTAGCTAATAATTTCAAACAACAAAATGATCTCGAGAAGTGAACAGCAATTTAAGAGAGAGAGATTCCTTAACAGGGTGCTAAGGACTCAATGATATTTCCCTTGCTCCCAAAACGACTTCATAGCTCAGTTTGTAGTGGTACACACATACTCTCAACCTTTCAACCTGCCTTGGGAGCAAAAATTGTGTTCAAATGCATATGCCCCACCCAATTTTTTGTTGTAAAAAGGCAAAATCAGCAACCATGACTTTCTACACATTCACTAAGCTTTTGAACTTACACCTTTACACCTTTTCCTCTTGGACATTGGCATGCAAAAGTGAACTATTTGCCCTTAAACACCTCCATTTTTAAGATATAACATGTTCCATTGTGTTCCATTGGAAAGACTTGACATTTCCAGTTCAAATTCCCCACCATAGCCAGGCAAGATTCAAATCCCGTACCCATCAGGTACAGACAATGAAGCTTTGAAATGGCCAGTATGGAAGGAAATAGTTGAACATACAGGCTGAAAAATTGAATAAGATAATTTGTTATCAGTGATTTTGTCTTTGTCTCTTTCAGTGAGGTTTTAGGTAGCTCCATTGACATTCACACGGGTGGAGTGGATTTGAAATTTCCTCATCATGACAATGAGCTGGCACAGTCTGAGGTAAATATGATATCCTTAGTCTTGTACTACTGGGAAAAGGGCTAATAGTCAGATCTTGAGGGTGCAAGCTTGGTGTGAAGGTTCAATATGTGCCTGATCTCTGCATTGAGGAGATCAACTAATCAGTTATACCTTGATGACAGTGTTAGCAAAGACCAAAAACAAAAACTCCTTGTGTTTCTTACAGGAAAAGGTAATTAACTACAGTGATTTGAATCACAACTGAAAATATGAAATTATATTTAGAGAAAATGGTGTAGAACATGGTTGCTAAATTAAAACTATTCAGGGAAATTTGCCGGCTGGGGTGGAAAGAGTTGCCAAGGTAGATTTGGTACACCATGCCCAGAGGCACATTTCTATAAAAATTAATTGGGTGGTTAAAGAAATGATTTTTTGCCATCTTCATAAATAATCAGTTTTCATGATTAATGTTCGTCTGAACAGAGTAGATCTTTTTAATGAGTAATGATAAAACAGGTCACCTTACAATAGTGACTCTTCAAAATTTTTCTTCAGGCACATTATGGTGTGTGCCAGTGGATACATTATTTCCTCCATGCTGGTCATTTAACGATAGAAGGATGTAAAATGTCCAAGTCTCTGAAGAATTTCATTACAATCAAGGTACATTTTCCTGTCCAATTTTTTTTCTTTGTCAGTTGTTAAGTTTAACACTCTGTCAGGAGGTTGTATTGTAAACAGGGTTTGTGTGGCCATGGTAACTTGAAAAGTCATGAATTTTTGTGGTATGTTCCAGGTCATGAAGTGTGTGTCTTGGTAATGGAAAGTCAAGAATAATAACCTAGTAGGATTTTTTTCTCCAAACTAAACAAGAAATTCTCAAGGAATGCTCGTGTTCTTCTTATGTTAAAACAAACCTCAGCATTGCACTTCACAGAAAAGTTTGAAAAAGTCATTGAATTTCGTAAGCTCCAAAGGGTATAAACCTTGGATGAAAAAAACATTTTGATAAAGAGTCTGACTCATTGAATCTTTCAATCCTCTCTCTGGCATTTTCAGGAAGCATTGGCAAGAAATTCTGCCAGACAAATTAGACTTGCCTTCCTTCTTCATGCCTGGAATGCTACTCTGGACTACAGCGAGAATGTGCTTCGTGAAGCTGAACAGACAGACAAGCTATTTAACGTGAGTCTAGGCGGATATTTTTGAAACCCTAATCCTTTAACTCCCGAGATCGTATTGTTAATTCTCCCCTCCGGATGCAACAAATTTCTTTGTAAGTTAGTTACGAGAATTTGGTGTTCGATCAAGATAACAACTGCTACCTGATAAGTTTGAGGTTTCTCATCACTTGGTTTCTTAATAATGTATTGATGTTGTAAGGAGAAGTTGCATGCTAATCACTTCTGGGAGATGAAGGGCTAATATTATCTCATATTGGGAGACGTGTAGATCAAGTTGAGTTTCTCGCACAAATTAAGGAAGTGGCCTTTACAGCAGAAACTTATCTTTGTTTCTATAGCATCCAGTGGCTAGGTGTATTGCTTCTCGGCCTGTGCAACTGTTCAATAATAGATCACAGATGACGTCAAAATGTGATAAGATCAAAAAGGCGGCACAGGAGGCGAGTGTGTCACTGATGTTCTTACCACATTTTGACTTCTTTTGTAAAGTCATTTTTAACTGAACAGACTCGCAGCAACAAAAACTGTCAATGATGACGTCATCTGTGTGTCTGTCCTCCAATAGAACATGAGTCAGAACCATTCAAGATGCGTGCGTAATTCAGCTTATTATAAGGTTAACCCCAGCGATATATCTCTTTCCTGGACAGTTGGCTGTTGCCTATGTAGTCGATGTATACTCCTGAGTAAACAGAGGCACTGTGAGAATAAAGTGTTTTGCCCAGAACACAACACACTGACTCCCAGGGCTTTAGCTTGACCTCATATTCCCGGAGTCTGCTCTCCATTTATGAGACCACACAGTCTCTCACCTGTGATTGTCTAAAAACCATTGTTGTTCTTGTCTCGCTTTTCAGGATTTCTTCTTGAACGTAAAGGATATTCTTAGGAGACCAGAGGACACAACACCATCAGCGCACAACTATCATGAGTTGGAGAAAGATCTCCAGGACAAGTATGGATCACTCTGCTTTCCACTTCTCGCATGGATCTATAAAGGAATTCTTTCTTCTAACTGTCTATTTCTTATACACGTGCCTTTTAAGGGAAGCAAACATCACCGTGTCGCAGTCAAGTTCATCTATTCCCATTTCCTGTCTGCTGGCCAGATGTATTAATGATGTAAAAAAAAAGTTTTAAGTTGAATTGATGAATCAATATTGGTTTTTATGGGCTCCGCAGTAACTAGCTGAATGCAAAAATCTGCAGTGTCCTTTTAATGCTTAACAAGCAAAATGAGAGACGGGAATGGGCGGGAGAGGGGGGGGTGATGGTTTTAAACTTTCATATCTCAAGGGAGGGGGGGTATAGGTGTGAGCCATCAAGTCGTAACCAAAGGGAAATCAAAATCTGGTTGTGGGGGTAATAATCAGTTCCGTTATTTTGTAATTTGTTTCCAGGTTCCTCGGTAAAAAGGCGGCAGTCCATGAAGCTCTCTGTGGTTAGTGTAAATATAATTTTCCCCTTACATCCTGAAAGTTGTGGCATCACTTTGAACTGATTAATGACATGTAAGATTTATACAATTGCAATTGGACGTTTGCAAATCTGAAGGACGAGAGTTGTCTCTTCATTTAAACGTAGTGATTTGTTTCCCTGCTTGCATGTGGGATTAACATACGTCTGCCCCCAATTTACTCCTACCTGCGGCTTCACTCTGTTTATATTTTAAGAAAAAATTATGTGGACAGCAGTAAAAGACCGTGAATCTTCTTGAGACGTGATGAATATTGAGCACCTAATAATAAATCATCACTTTCTTCCCAAACTTTCATGACTGTTATCGAGAGCTGGCGTTACTCTTCGTGGGTGCTTGCGTGACGTCTTTTGACAGCTTACGCGAGTTCCCTTGGACATATTTCATTCCCGTTTTTGTGTTTTTGTTGTTGTTTTTAGATTCAATCGACACACCCAGTGCACTTCGACACATGCAAGAACTTGTGAAACTAACGAACATCTACATTAGCGGCAAAAAGGAGAAAAAAGAATCTTCAAATCACCAGCTCTTGGAAGGAATTGCTAAGTATCTGACTCACATGCTAAAGGTTTGTACCCCATAAATGTAGCATCAGTGTTTGGTATCGACTGATTCTTCTTATCGAATCTTATTCAAGTTATCGTTAAAAAATCTGTGCTAATAAATGGTGCGAAACCTTTTTGATTCAGATTTTTGGAGCAATCGATGAGGAACAAGCCATTGGTTTTCCAGTCGCTGGAAAATCTGCTGCAGCTAATGTAAGACATCTTTCTATTACATATTTTTTATGTGTTTGATTATTTATTGATACATTTAATTTAAATTTCTTCTGCTTTAGTTGCAATGAGGAAGTTATGTCCTTGAAATGGTTGTTGTTGAAAGGGGCAGACTAGAAGGTTCCATTGGGCTTTTCAGAAGTAGTTCAGGGATTTTAGTTTTCACGGTCTACTTTTTGGCCAATTTATTTTCCTTTTTTTCCTTATATTTTTATTCACGTTGTGGGGTTCCGCAAACGGTCGTAAGTAACTGTTTAGAACTCGAAGCAGGCTCGGTGAAAAGTTTTAACTGCGACAAACATTATTGCATCTGATTATCCGAAGAACTCCTGCTAAAACCTTTGCCTTTTTAGTTTCAACTTTATGGAACAAGTTTCAATAATTTCATGATTATTGCCAGTAAAATTCACAGACTGTCAAGTCAAATATCATTTTTTTTCATTATTATTATTCAATTGAGATCAGCATGGTTAACTTAAACAAGAATTTTTATTTCAATTTCAGCATGAAGAAGTTGCCATGCCGTATGTCCAGCTACTTGCTGATTTTAGAGAAGAAGTCAGGAATGTTGCGCGGGACGAAAAAGGTGAAACTAAGTAACGGCGAGAGAGGATAAATAAATTATCCTCTCTTGATGCTGGTTAAAAGTCTGGTCTGCCTGTGCAGTTCTCAACTTTGGGTAACTAAACAAAAGGACACAGACCATGCCAACAAAATATTTTGAAAATTGGTTGGAAAAGTAAGGTCAAATATTTTTAGAAACTTGGAAAATATGGAAGATCGAATTGTGGTTCTGAAAATTTTCTTTGTGGCCTAGTTGCTTCACTGTGAATTAATTGTGTGAAAGTAGAGTTTAACGTACATTTTGTGGAAGTCCTCAACAACTGGCAATTTTTTTTTCTAGTAACTAAAATCCTTCAAGCATGCGACAGGTTAAGAGACGACAGTTTGCCAGAACTCGGAGTGAAGCTTGAAGACGTGGAAGGTGAGTTAAAACACGTTCTTTCTTCTGATGTACATTAATGGATGCCGGTCAGTTACTTCCGGCTGTTTAAACGTATTCGACCCTGTTATGAATAAGCAATGGTTATTTTTCTGTCCTCAAGGTGACCACGCAGTGATAAAGTTTGTGGACAAAGAAACGTTATTGAAGGAAAAACAGCAACAGTTAGAGGTATATTTCTGATCTGTCCCTTCATATGTCCGTTTATGTAACTGCTGTGTATATTTGCTTGTTACTTATTCCGCGAGGTTTTATATTTTTGGGTTAGGAACAAGAGAAGAAGCGGAAACAGAAGGAGGAAGCCAAAAAGAAGTTGGAAGCGGAAAAGGTTTGACCGGTGACATTGTGTTTTGTTCTTGGGCACGACACTTCTTTTCAAACAATTCACTCGCTCGCCGTCCTTGGAAATTTATCTTACACGTGCAAATTTACGCTACCCCGATGCATCTAACTTGCCGTGGCATAATTTTCTCATCAGTCGCGAGCTTTTTCGCTCAGCTTTGGAAAAAGCCTCAAGAGCTTCTTTGTACTTTTCACACCGAAATTTATTTAGTTCATTCATTCATTGATGTTCCCTTTTTTTCAGGCTGCAAAGGAAGCAAAAGCTAGAATTCCACCGTGGGAAATGTTTAAACACGAAACAGAAAAGTATTCTAAATTTGATGAACAGGTAAGAGACCCTATTTTAGGTACACCGATACCTTTATGGTGTTCTAATGCAATTTGAGTTCGGGCTACCGTCTCTAAATTTATGTCTAAGCTTTAGTTTCTAAATATCGGATAGAAATGGTTTATTAACTATGCTTAATGCTAATCGCCTAGATTTTACAGTTTCAGCGGAATTTCAGCGTTCATCAAAACTAGTCATCTACCAAGACAACCAATTGATTTGCGCAGTTTTGCGCTGACATTATTCAAAATGATGTGGTTGTTGCCTGGGAACTGTTCTGGAGTATTTAGGCACAATATAGTTAAGCAGTAGAGGACTTTTTTTTTCCGTGTTTGAATAGCTTCTTTGAAATGTTATCCAAAAATAATAATAATAACAATGATAAATTAGAAAAATATGCGCGTCTTAAACGTGACACTGTGTCAATATACTCTTATCTAAGACACACCTATTCACCAATGAGATCCCTTTCATCACCTTACCTGGTAACAGTTCGCCTCTTGTGACTCTGGCTTTACACACTGGTCGAATATTATTATCCTTCAGATGTAGGAGTAATAACGACTCCGTTAGTCTTAGATGTTTTTTATCTTGCTTCACAGGGAGTTCCTACCCATGATCATACGGGAGAGCCACTGAGTGGCAAACTGATCAAAAAATTGAAGAAAATGTACCAACAACAAGAGAAACTGTATAATTCTGTTGGGGCTGGCCAGGCAGCAAATGGTTCCACAGAAAACTAACGTGACACTAAAATTTAACTGAATTGTAAGACCTAGTGATACAATTGAAATAAAAGGCATAATGAGTTTTGAGTTTTAACTTTAGTGCTTCAAGACCTTTTGGGTTTGAAGTTAGTAAATTGTACTCTCTACTAAGGGCCGTTTATTTCCCAGTTTCAAGACCCGATACGTTCATATTTTTTAATTTGCAATTCTTGTTATTTTTAAAGGGCACGACTAGCTTGAATGTCGATGTGAGTTTCAAATACAGACACATTCTAGTGAAAAGCCATATGAAAAAGTGGCGAAATATGCTAGAAAATTCCTTCAATTTCTTAGTCTGTCAACGTAGTTAATGCCTGAATTCTCTACGGTAAGTTATTTATTGCATGCAAGGCTAAGCATTGGTATGCAGGTATAAGAACATGTAGGACGGGTCTGTTCTTCGCATTAACTTCGCTTGTTCTTCATTTTATCCAACTCCACAGCTGCTAGAATCACCACAGCGATTAAAACGTCTGTGAAAGGTAACCTAAGTAGGGAAAAGAAAAAACTCTCGACTTTTTGTACACAGCGTATTTGATTACATCTTTCCCGCTGATTTGGTATTTTCTTTTAAGCTTCACCAGAAAAGTTATACGGATATCAAACACCGCGACTTGCTCGTTCATGTGGTGGTTTGTTCGTATGTCAATGTGGTTTGGACCCTTAAACCACGTCACGAAGCTGGCCTCGTCGTAAGCCTGTGCGTCAGCTTCTACAACGTTCGCACATGCACAGACGTTTGATCGCTGTAAAATCCAAATTAATCCTTTAAACCTTAAGATTGACAAGCATTTAATTTCTCCCTACAGTAACACTGCTGAATCATTCACTAAGATCATGAGATTAAAGGAAATTATTTTCAAACTATGGAACTTCGATTGTTAAATTAATTCTCCTCGTCAGTCAGAAAAGTAAAGAGAAGAGTATGGAGAATCTGGATACTGATGTTAAGGTTTAAGGGGTTAACATATTCACAAACAATCACAAGTCAGTAATTCGCCGATCAATTCGAAGCTTCAACATCCCTCCTTCCCTGTATTAAGCGGTCACCCATGGGGAATGGTGACCGCATTTACAGGTTGCCTGCTTTATTCAGGTTTAACTGTACCTATAAGAAAACAATGTCATAGATGGTCTCCATGTTTGAATTTGGTAAAAAAGAAAGCAATCTCTTTTCTAGAGGCTTGTGAATATCAAATCTAACTTCTGAGTGGCGTCTCCTGAAACAATCAAAAGGGAGTCCTCTATCACTTTTCAGGGCTGTGGATAAATAGGCCCAAAGACGGTGTGAGGAGGAAAACATGGTTGTCAGTGGTTCCAGTAAAAGGTCCTTACTGGGAGAGCATCTGGAAAGGAGTACTAGATTTTCACAGATGGCGCCTCAAGAGTTTTCAGACGTAGTGATTCCATCAGAAATTTTGTCCAAGGAGGTGATCAGCGATGTGTTTAAACAGTTAACTTCGGTCTCCGTCCCTCATGACGTAAAGTTCTCGACTGTCCCATGGGCAAAAAGTGATCTTAGGAGTATTTCACATCATTTACTGGGCAAAATATTTCCCCCAAATCGAGAGTGGACCGTAGCGCGGAGAAAAGTAAATCAGTACAGTGTATGCGGAAAAGCGGAGTGTTAACATTTACCGGAAATAAGCCTGTTATGTTGTATGGTGTAAGCATAATTGTCGACAAAGTGAGAAGCAGTCGTATCAGCCTGTCTTTCGGAAAGACGAAACAATCGGACAGATAAACAGTAAAAGTTTTGTTACCAAGCCTTCCAAGAGTATGGACAAATTGAAGTTTTCTTTAACCGACCGCTTCCTTTAATCAAGAATACTTGCTACACATTTGAAACTAATACCGATGCAACAGGAAGGCAACCTGTGTTTGTTTGGTCGGCCTCATTTCTGGCATCTTTACCGAAATCTGAGGTTTTATCGTCGTCAAATCCAGTATTCTATTGTTGCTCTGGACGTTATACCAAAAGCGTACCAATGAATGTTGGCTGCGTAGGAGATATAATTAATCTAGTTTATAAAGTAATCAAATGATGCAGCGGGAAAGCAGAACAAACGCTATGACTTAATCTCCTACAAACTATCCTAGTACTTTGCCTCTATAATTATCTTTAAAAAACAGTAGCGCAGAGCGAACTCGAAGAGAAGAATATAGTATGTATCCTATGTAGATTTGACGGTGAAATATGCATATGTTATAAATGCTCGCGTTCACTATTCGATTTCTTATTCCAAGAGTTATTTATGGTACAATAAAAGGAATGTGTTTCAACCACAAGGGAGATTCAGTGCAATTTCACCTGTTGTGAAGCAAGCCAATCAGTAGATTGTTCATCCTGAAACTGCAAACAAAATATATGAGGCAAAAAAAAGAATTGCAACATTAAATATTTGATGCTTTGCTTCTCTTATAAATGTTTCTGTATAAATCGTGCGATTTTGGCAACTTTGGATTTATCCATTATTTCTAATATTGTGGTATATCTGATGAATTTTAAAAGACCCTGACAAAAGAAAAGATAAGGCGTTTAATTTAAAGATTTAAGCATCCATTTCGGCAGTCTTGGAGTTTTATGTTCGAAAGTTTAGAATAAAATAATTTTAGCGAACAGTTTGCTTATATTCACCCCTAACTAATGAGTCTAGATGATATTCCCGGTGAGTCAATTTGATTCCCAATCAAATCGTTCTCTGCTTGTTCAAATACATTTAGTATACCAAGGAATCGCCTTCTTAGAAGTCGAAGAATATTCGAGTTAATTCCTTTCACGCTTGAATTGCCTACCGTAAATTTGAATTGCAATAAATATTACAAAGGCGCTTTGTCCGCTTTGACATTCGTGTACTTGTCATTTGATCCAATTCCACAACGGCTAGAATTAGAGCTTAATTACATTGAGGTAACATGGCTGACGCTTGCGAAAATCGGTGGCAGACCAGTAAGAGCACAGTTCTGGAGAGAAACATGCACATGTTTAACAATCCTGTTATGAGTGACATCAAGTTTGTCTTTCCTTATCACGACAAACAAAGCATTCCAGCGCACAAATATGTCCTCGCCACCAGCAGTCCTGTGTTCTTTGCTATGTTTTACGGAGAGCTGCGTGAGAAGAAAGAAACGATCGAAATAGATGAGTCTGACCCAGACATCTTCCTTCAGTTTCTGTGTTTCTTGTATTGTGACTGTGTGACCATCCAAGATGAGAACAACGCTATCCAGCTGTTGTATTTAGCGGACAAATACGACATCCCTTCACTCACGACGAATTGTGTGGATTTCCTAGATGGAGCTATGCAGCCGCTAAATGCCTTTGATATGACCCTTCATTCTTGGAAATTAAACCATAAAAGGCTGGAGAAAATATGCTGGGAAGTGATCGATTATAATATGAAAGAAATCTTCGATGATGATTCGTTTTCCGAGCTCAGTCATGAGTTATTGCTAGAGGTCGTCAAAAGATCTTCGTTGCGCATCGACGAACTATCACTGTTCAAAGGAGTGGATCGCTGGGCGACAAAAAGGTGCGTAGATGAAACTAAGGCTGTGAATGGAGCTAATAAACGTTCTGTCCTTGGAGAAGATCTATTAGATAATCTTCGGTTTCCGGTCATGTCATCTCAAGAGTTTGCAGACGTGGTGATTCCCTCAGATATTTTGTCTAAAGATGAGATAATCGATGTCTTAAAGAAGTTTTCATCTGTCTTTGTTCTCGGCGGGTTCAAGTTCTCATCTTGTCCCCGAGTAAAACGCGATGTGGCAAATGATTCGTGTGTGTTAGGTACTGAATATTGCTCCTTCTGGAAGTGTCCCTCCGTGCCATATCCGATAAGATGGTCTTTTAAAAGTGAAGTGCTTACATTCACAGTGAGAAGGAGGATTTGGTTGTACGGTGTAAGCATGATCACAACATTTTTACTTCCCTTTGAAAAGAGGAAACCCGAGGTTTGCCTTGCGGGTGTGTCCGTCGCTCACAGAGGCAAAATTTTGAGAACAGCTAAAAACCACAAATTTAGCGAGAAACGTTGGCTCAGAGATAGAGCGAAAATTGATGTTTTCTTCAACAGGCCTGTATTTTTATCCGAAGATACTTGTTACACCATTGAAACTTCGACAAATTCCATACAAGACCAAAGTATCTTCGTCTGGTCTTCGTCTTTGCAGCGCTCTCTGTCAGATAAACCCGATTCGTCCATCGACAATCCCAATATACTCAACAAAAACACCGTAGTGTCTGGTGTTTGCTCCGGACATTACACAGATGGCATCCCGGCTCATGTTCATTACAAAGGAGAGGTATTGGCACTTCTCTTTGAGCCTTGGACACTGCCAAATAGATAGAGTTTAGGCCAATCTTCGAAGAATCACATGGTGTCTTTTCGATTTGTAATATCCAATCAGTAATGATATCAGTTATATCCTAAAGAGAAAGGTGAATCAAGTTGTCAAGTTCCCATGCGAATGAATGTGACAATAATTTCGAAATTAGGCATTCATAGATGGCTGATGTTTCATTTGTTCCCCGTATAATTTACAGTATTTTTTCTTGCCACAGGAGTGGTAGATTGATCGTTATCGATTGTTACTAGATGCACGACCTGATGGATACTCCAGATAGCAAATATTTGCCGGATGAATGGTTTTGTATCATTTTGGAAATTCATAACTAAGAAGTGGTTCCAGTCTCTCTGCAGACACCTCATTTACACCTGCTTTTGGATAAGAATTGTCACGGCTCTTCCGATCGAGTTAGATAGAAAAGATAACTGAGTGATCATGGGGGCATGATTGCTGTTTTCAGCAACGATTTATTGATTGCAGTTTAACTGAATGAAGCCGTGTATCTTTAACTGTATTTTGAGAATATAATGTTCATTGAATCGTTTGTTTTGACATTTGTGGCGACATTGAAATGGCTTCA